CCAAAATTTTCTCCCACATTTACACCCCCCATTTCTTATTTATCTTCTCCCCACCTTCCCACCCCCGGGGGGTGTTTTTTTTTGGGGGGGGGGGGGGGGGTTAATGGAACATCCGAAATCAATCTTTATTACATGTGTTTAATGATGCACGTTGAAACATGAAAATGATCAGATTATTTTGTTGTGCTTGATTTAATGAAAGTTCAATTTGTGCTCCCTCTTCTACAAATTTGCTATCATATCTTCGGTTCCGAAGTCATGCACCTTGATAAAAAAACTTTTATTTGCTCTGTTCGAAGCGAAGCTGTATATTTATAATCATACCATATGTAGGTAAAGTAGAACATTTTATTCCAAAAAAAGAAGTAAATAAAGGTAAGATGAAGATGATAATAATCGAGTCAGAAAAAAGTAGCTAAGAAATTGTATCAACTGATCGGTGGAATCATGAGTAGTTTAACCTGAATACATTCAGTAGACTTTTTTGTAGAAATAGAAATGAATTCTATAAATCATGTCATTAGAAAAAATATCTGTTTTTTGTGTTATAGTGTATTATCAAGACCGTCACCTGTTTGATATAAACCAATTTCTATTTGAGCTCCTCCATATCCAGAATCAAAACTATAATCTGGTCTCCCATATCCCATACGTTGAACAATAGTCTTTAGATCACCAGATTCAATCACCTGAGCTGAAAAACCAGAACGTAATAAACTGTCTTTTAAATAGTCGTAATTCTTATTGTGACTATTTAATGTTCCATCCACGCGTAATAGTATTTCTTTCAAACCATTTGAACCTTCTAAATGTGTATGATACTGTTTTATTTCACTCTCCAATTGCGTATGAATTGTAAGTACACGCTCATGTTCTGATTTTAATTCATTTAATTGTTGTGCCAATTCACCAGCAAATTTCCTTATATCATGTTGTTGAGTCAAAGACTCAAGTTCTCTTATACGTTCTTGTAGTTTCATATTTGTTTGTCTATTTAAATACAGAAAATATTTTACGAATGATTCCAGTTTGCTGCATAAAGATTGTTGCACAATATGTATATCATTGAGACAGTACAGCACTAATGATTATATCAGGCCCGTAGCCAAGATTTTTTCGAAGGGGGGATCGACTTTTTTGCCTTTAGAGATAGTGTGAAGTCTTACCAAACAGTAACTTTTTTATGACGGGATTCAGTGGAAAAAAATCATTTTTTTCAAAAGTCAAGGGCGGACTGGTTCCCCAATCCTCCCCTTCTGGCTACGGCCCTGGATTGTAAACGCTATCCCACTCAGAATTTAACGCTGATTCCGAATATGTGTGTCTCAGATCGTAGTTTTTTGGGCCGAAAACATGCCTTAATGCCACTCGTCCTTTTGAAGATGGTGCAATCTACGTTTTTCGGGGCTTTTCGTAAAATATCAATATCTCAGCAAGGATACAACGTTTTGATTTGCGCCTTTTACCAAAATTCATTAAAATGTTTGGTCTACAAGAGCTGTCTACTTTTAGAAAAGTTTTGAGAACATCGATTGAAGAAGGTCGGTCGTGGCTTACGTGCAATGGCTCTTGATGGTAAGTATACTCTTAACAAGTAGTATACAACCGACCTCTATTTTTACGAGGATTTGCACGTCTTTTCGCTCATAATGAGACCTATGGTAAAACCAACTGAAACTCTAGTCTGTAGCTTTAGTAATATTTAGAACGAATGCTCAAATGACAGCCAACTTCTCCAATGACATCCTTCATAGAAGATAGCGTCCCCAAAATTGCAGTCCGGACTGGTCCAACCGGTAACAAACTTAAGAAAACCTGGCCCGACCCGTGACGACCTTTGATTCGCTCTGTAAATAAATGAAAAATTATCAAGTCCGTTGCATGGACAAAGCGCTTGATTAAACATTTTCAGCATTGTGTGGACGGTACCATAAGAGCTGTAAATCGAGCAGTACTGCAGAGCTAGAATACGGTAGATAAAAATACCTTACAAATCCTAATTCAAGATTTCATCAAGATTTTGTGAAGACACTAAGAATCTTAAAGTGCAAGGTAATCTCAAGGTCTTGACAGATCTTCAAAAATCTGCGTAAGATCTTGAAATAAGCGAGCAGAAACTCCAAAAATCTTTCAAGTTTTAATTAAAACTTTGGTTCAAGATTTTTGATCTGAGGAATAAGAAAAAACTAGTTAAGATATTTATCTATAAGAAAGCTTAAATAGGTTTTGATTCTACTATTCTGGAATGACTTCTCTGTATTGAGAACCGTGAAAGCCGTCGACTGAAACTAACTTTCAAGTCTTCAGTTGGCATGTAACAGTAACTCTTCCAAATAACTACATGAGAGGATGTCAGGCACATGCTCAAATTCTTATTTACTTCCGTTACTTGGACTGTCGTAAACATCCGTTCCTGTCATTCTCAAGGAATGAGTGATCCACCTCCTCAAGACTTTGGAAAAATCGCGCTCGGTTTCATTCAATAATTAGATATTTAAGTCCGTATAACTGAACTACGTATTTTAACATAAAATACATTTTTTCGAACAACAACATACTACCTACTCAATTAAACCAATTTCGTTGTTGATGTTGACTAGTTCCATATGCTTTTCAGCCATCAATGGATCCTGTGTCTTATCTTGGTTACTGTTTGATTCATGCGACAATATAGTTTTATACAGATCAATCTAAGCAGCAAACATATTCACTAAAATTTCTCAGGACGATAAAAGCTTTCTCGTTTCTTACCATGTATTCAAAATACATACTGGAATACTTTTCTTCATTAATCAATTCAATTTCACTCCTCTTATCTTTGATCAATTGTGCTAATTCATTTTTTGATTGAACTATAATCGATTCTTGGTCATTATCATGAGCAATTTGTTTAGATTTAATTATGTTTTCTAATTCGGATCTATATTTATTTTCAGCCGAATTTAAATCTTTTTCGATCATCTATGTAAAAAGAGTCAACTGATCAGTTAGGATTGATTTTTCACATTGCTCAAAAGGCACGATGCCAATATCCATCAGGACATCTAATGAGAACTTGACCATGGATTCCATTGTGACTTTTTACAAGGCCTTTTTTAATACAAAGAGCGCGTATATTTTTTCTGTATTCAAGTACTACTGAACACCGCTCTACGACCGATTGGTATCGTCTCTATTTTAAGTAAGATCAGTAATTAGTTCTTCTCATTATTTCTATCGGCAAGCAAATTTACAAATCTGCTTTCTTTTCTCTGATATTGGAGAAACTCTAGTTTTGTTGTTTGTAGTCATGTTTTTATGTGATTGAGAGCTCATTCCACAAAAAAAAAAAGAAATAACATTAAACAAGTATAAAGTTATTTCATCGTGTTCTACATAAAAGTATATATATGTATAAATATTTATTTATTTATGTTACGAGATACAAGCTTTTAACAGATCTCTGGAGTTCCGGGGAAGATATCTCAGTGTGATTTGTTGATAGAAGGAACTTGGAAGAGATCTTGGAGAGATAAATTACAAAAGATCGGTGTTGATTAATTAATCAAGACAGAAACAAAGGTTGTATACCTCCAAATGAAACAGGACTTTGTATCGTTCATTCAACAGGAAACAGCAACCGTATGGAGATAGGTCAGAACATTTAAAGGAAATGATCTGCTTCTATATGTTAGACTAATGATACAAAACAAAGATGAAATAGAATAAGTTTATGTTGACATGTTTTAATTTCAGCTAGTTCCACGTTCGATGAATATACGGAATCGCTACCTAGCCCGCGTTTTTC